CCTCTCTCACCCCCTGTAAGTAAAAAGTGTCTGTGTTTTTCTCTGACCTCCTCCCCGTTGGTCGTAAAGTGTCGACATCCCAGAGCTTGAACGAAAATAGCGTGGTCTTGTTAAAGTATGTACAAGATGATTGCGTGTATTCTTTTGGACAAAATTTCGACGTTCGTTATACCCAAGTGGATTTACAGTAAATTTATGGCCCGGGTTCGAAATGTAGATAACACTATCCACCGGATAAATCACTCTCCAGCGTATAGCGTGGTTTATTTTGTTAACACTTATCCACTAGATAGTTATTTATTCGGTGGATTGCGTTGTCCAGCCTTCAAACAACTGGGGCTTGTTGGAAAGAAATAATGTGTTTGTTGTAATCGGGAATTCGTTTGATACATACGTCGCGGAGACTGCCGGCTTCTTTTGAGAGTAGGTGCGAGTATAGATGATTATGGCTGGCTTCATAAGGTTTTTTCTTATATCGGGGCTAGTTGAGGTCTTATGTGGCGCTTAAAGATACGAGGAAGCTGGTTGAAGTTGAAAGTCTATCGAGTACATCATTTGTTGCTTTTTTTCTTTCCATTTATGGACAGATAATGATCAGAGCTCGCGGAACTGGAATTGATGTACCTGTGTGGGTGGAGAGAGAGGTATTGTGTTCAGCATACGTTATAATGGCAATAGATTTTTGATTCCCAGCAGTGTGGCCTAGTGGTTGAAGGCGCTGGATTTGTGATTTGGAGGTCTTGAGTTCAAATCCCCCTCCCTGCCACTTGATGGATTTGTGTTTGGTGGTCCCACATTCAACGCCTCTACGCTTTGTAAATAGCCAACTGGTCAGCCTCCCGCCCGTTGGGATTTTTAACAAGTTTCTGTTCAATTTACAACATTTGTTTGCTTGTGTCAGAGTCCCCAGTTAGTACAGTAGTGCTAAACACTTCGACACTTATATAAAGTTATTTATTTTATGTTTGTTTTTCTAGTATTTTGTTCTTTACAAAGAAGCCTAGGTTTTCTTTGACACTATTTTGTTTGTTCATTAGTTAGTGGATCTGAAGATGTGTATGTACGACCGCCTGTATCAGGATGCAATACTTGTCAACAACAGGTAGGTGCCGATAATGTTTAAGCATTGCTTAGTTTGATTGGAGAAGGGAGAAGCAACGCTCTGATGGTCTGTAGGTCTATGGATCGACCGATCTGGGTTGGAACCCTGGCTAGGGTTATTGTGTTGTGTTCTTGGGCAAGACACTTTACTTTCACAGTGACTTTTCCCACCCGGGTGTATAAATGGGTACCCGCGAATTGTGGAAGCAACCTGGCAAAATGCCGAGTGGCAATCTGTGTTGAACTGTTATCCCATTAAAGGTGCACTTTCACGGTATTTTGAGTTATTTTGGCCACGTAAAGAATCATCTTTAAATTGAAGGCAACCTGAAAATATTACTTTACTATAAAACACTATAGGAATAAGAGATAATATTAAACCATAAAGGAACAAGGATGGAGAAGATTAACACGGATTGCAAACGACGAACTTGAAAAACTAAAGGCCAAACTTTTCAAGATACGCAAACCGTGACGTTCAGTAGTCGCTTTATGGAAACAAAGCCTGTCCTCTTGAGCATGCCGTAAAGGCTTTATTTACTTAGACTTCTTTAACTTTTGCTTGTTTAAACTGGCTCTCTTTGGATTAATGTTTATTTGTGTCGACTTTCAGAGCCACATCAGCTCTTAGACTAAAGTTTGAAGTTTGTAAGGAGCTCAGGAGTCACCTGGAACTATTACCCAAGACAGCTTA